CTAACACGGGCAAAGCTGTTACCTCAACCCAGGGCACAGCAAGTGTAGTTCTATTGACAAGTCCCCCAACATGATCCTAGCAGGCCTCGTGCCTCCAGCTTCCATCCCTGGCACCCCTGTCCTGTACACAGCCAGTGTCTTTCAAAGCTGCACCTACTCTTCTTTTTAGCGGTCTTTGGATGGGATAAGTAACTGTCGTAGTTTAACCCCAGCCAGCCACTGAGCACCACGCAGCCGCTCGCTCACCCCCCCCGGGTGGGATGGGGGAGAGAATCAGAAGGGTAAAAGTGAGAAAACTCGTGGGTTGAGATAAAGACAGTTTAATAGGTAAAGCAAAAGCCGCGTGCTCAAGCAAGGCTCACTTCCCATCGGCAGGCAGGTATTCAGCCATCTCCAGGAAAGCAGGGCTCCATCACGCGTAACGGTTACTTGGGAAGACAAACGCCATCACTCTGAACGTCCCCCCCTCCTTCTTCTTCGCCCAGCTTTATATGCTGAGCATGACGCCATATGGTATGGAATAGCCCATTGGCCAGCTGGGCCAGCCGTCCCGGCCACACTCCCTCCCAGCCCCCCGCGCACCTGGCAGGGCACGGGAAGATGAAAAGTCCTTGACTAGCATGAACATAACTTAGCAACAACTAAAACATCAGTGTGTTATCAACACTATTCTCATACTACATCCAAAACACAGCACTATACCAGTTAATAGGAAGAAAATCAACTCCATCCCAGCCGAAACCAGGACAGTAACGCAAGAAAGTGTATGTGATGAAAGTCTAGATGGCCTCTACTCCTAGCAGGTTGTGAGAAGCTGTGTGTGCCTGCAGGACACAACTCTCTTCTCATGAGCAGTAAAATGTGTGTTTTGGGGAGCAAGGTTGAGAGGAAGTTGATCAATAATGTCGCTGAAAGTTCCTTTCAGATGATGGGAATGTTATTTATCACAGCTGCTTGTTTACTAGCACCGTTTGTCATGCTCTAACGTGTTTTCAAGCGTGCCCACATCCTTCTTTGTTGACGATGTCACTTGAGAAATATGCCTCGTAAAACCTATTAATTGAAATTTATAGGGCCGATCACTGCAGGGCTTAAGTGAGCGTGATTGACTAAGGCCCATCTAGTATTTCAAGCACAGTAGAAGAGAAATGTCATATAAAAGGACATTATCTGTTAAAAAATAGTTGTATTATGATGGACTATTTAGGAAAAATACAGAATCTTGAACTAAGTGTTAGCTGTTTTATCCATCTTGAAAATAGCTGGAGTCTGGCTGCTCTACATGGATGTATTATCCACACTCAAGTCAGCATCACATTAGCTTCCAGTTTTGCATTTTAAAATGCAGGACAGTATAAGAATCTTTCCAGACATGAAAAGCCCTGACATATTCCCCAGACTTAATAACTTGCATACGTCAACGTTAGTTTGCTCAAGCCACACTGTGCATAGGTATAATTGTATCCACTGATAGAGCAGGCAGTTTTATATTGAAACAAGTTGACAGACAGCTTGTGCTGATGCTGTGGAATTGTACAGCATGTCGGCGGTGAATATGAGCAAACTTAGGCGTTACAAAGAGGCTGCATCCACAACATTTTGACCATGACTGATGAAGGTGTAATTTGTTTTGATTTTCATGTGGTAAATTAGAATAGGAAGAATTCAATTACATGCACTAAAACAGAGATGGTAAAGCCCTTGCAGCTTCCACAGATGCTTGGCAGTGAATCTATTACAACCCAATTTCTTCTATTTAGTAATTGTAAATGCTTAAGTATTGGGAGTGGGAAGTCGTATCTGTGATTTAAACACAGCATACTTGTATTCTAATCTTGGCTTTGATACCAGCGTGCTAGAGTTAGGCTTTTAGTCTGGCAGGTGAGTTTGGTTTCCTAGTTCTAGGTTGCCTCAAAATAGGTAACATATAGAGAGTTTATCAAGTTATTTACTGATCAGTTCCAAATATTTAGAGTGCAGTTTCCCTCCACATCCTCTGCACTGCCTTTCAGTATTTTTAAAACGAGGCAAAAGGCCTTTACTTGGGTAATCAAGCAATCTTTATAAATCTATCTGAAAATTAAATACAAGCTGGTTTGGGTAAATGTTAGGTGTTACTTTTGTCTCTGTGGCCCCATATATGTGGGTGGCCACTGAATGGGAGAGTTGACAGACATAATTACTTAGAAATGACTGAAAAACAGGATTCTGTCAGGTCTAGTAGGGGGAAAAAAGAAGGTGAAATTTTAAACTCTCAGATAGAGAAGTATTTGCAATAGTAGTCCATTAAGAATAAGTAAATGCTTACGCCTGCCTGATGGCGCACTGGTGTTGTAACCCATGGTTGCAGGCCGACAGATGACAGCAATCAGCCACCAGGCAGAGGAGTTCTGTCCATGCATGGTCTCACTTATGGAGTGATTCGAGTGGACTCCGAAGAAAAGCTTTCCGTTCTGACTGTCCAGGATGTTGGCTTAGTGATGCCAGGAGGTAAGGAACTTTCTTTGAAACTTACTATGATTCATCAATTTAAGCAATTAGCTGTAAAAAGTCATAGGTGGGCATACTTTGCTGTTAGACAACAAGCTTTGGGATTAGAACATGTGTACTTGAAAACATTTTAGTCCAAAAGCATTACTTTGTAAAACTTCATAGTTTGGAAATCCCAAGATTTCTTCTCTCTGTTTACCTCCATGGCTGTCTTTACTTGCATTAGCGGTGTGCTTTGAACAACCTGTCACCATATCAGAACATCCATTCCTTAACTGGTACAGAAAATAAGAAAGTTGGATTCCGATGTCTGGAGGCTATAAATATCCATAAGCCTGACCCAGATGAGACTCAGTAGTGAAAGTTTTCATAACCTGTGCTAAGGATCAACAAAATTGCTATCTGAAGGCTTGCAGAATGTTTTTCCAAAGATCTTGTGCTATCACCCAGTTATTAGAAAGAGGAGGTATGACTGAACAGTTCATGTTAATAAGTTCAGACTGAAGCCAGTGCTTCTAAAGATGAAGATAAGATTTTTCCTAAGAGCTAGATTTTAAATGAGATGTTACAGAGACTAGAAAAGGATAATACTGCGGTTTTTCTTTTTTTTTTTTTTTTTGTCTGTTATGCACCAAAGGAATAAAACATAATGATGCATCTTATAAAATTTCAGTTGAACAACTTAAAATAAAGGACGATAAGATCGGTTGTTGTCTAATAGTTATCGTATAAGATATTATTATAGATGTGCCATCTTACACTTCATACTACATTCTGATCATTTTAGTAAAAGTACACACTCCTGTTTATGCTCCGAGTGAAAGGTCATTCAAGATTCTTTACGCTTGTACTTAAAAGACATGCTGATTCATTTTTGGTCTCCCTTGTTCATCATATCCTCTTTCCAACTGCAAAATCTACACATGCTGGACTCCTACTCCAGGGATTGTAGCTAAAGCAGCATGCTTGATTCTTATTCACGTCTCGCATGTAAAATAGTGCTTCTTCCTCAGACCAGTGCTTTCTAATCCCTCCCGTTTAGCTCCTGCTGTCTCTGCAGTCCTGTAAGCCCGGTGAGAGAGAGTCTGAGCTCTGATAAATTCTTAGTAAAACAACCGTACTAGTCTCCTAGAATATCTTGATCTTTCATATGGTGTTACATGCTACTTTGTGAGAGGTTGATTTCCTGGTTGCCTGCCTCCCTGGCAGTGTAATTATTATCAAGAACTCCATTAGGTTATTTCATTTTGCACTGACTGTGGCAAATCTGGTCTTCAGTATGCAAAACTGGGAACACAATCACATTTCACAGCAATATTACAGATCAACTGGAATTTTAGAGAGCAAGGCAAATTAGGTTTTGTTATCAGTGGAAAGACTGAGTTTACATAAAGATCTTTGCATTCTTTGTATAAGTATTATTTATAATATAAATAACACTTGATAATGTTGAACACCCTGCTGTTTGAGAAACTGATTGTTAGACATCAGAGTCGATGTAATTTATTTATGTCAACTCCACCACGGTGTCTTTCCTGCAGCATTTATTTTATTCTGTAGTTCATTTTATAATATTTTTTAAAGTCCTTTGCTCTCCCTCTAGCTATAATGTGTTCAGTGAAGCCAGATGGAATTCCTCAGCTCTGTAAAACAGATGAAATAGGAGAACTTTGTGTATGTGCTATTGCAACGGGTACATCATATTATGGACTCTCGGGCATGACCAAAAATACTTTTGAGGTAAGCTGTCCAAAAAATGCTATATAAAATCCTTCCTTTTTAACTTTTTCTATTTCAGGATAATATTTCACATAAAATACTGATAGTAATAATATCAGAATAGCAGTAATAATCAATGCTTGTGGCTTGGGACCTTAGGTACTCTAGCCAGATAGTCTGCACTGAAGCCCATTTCATTAAGTGCAATAGCAGATCTTTATGTGAGTTTAGTTCTGGGTCTGAAAAGCTTTTACTTTAATTTTGAAAGAAGATACCAGGGGCTGAAATAATCAGAAGGAAAGCAGGAAGAAAGACAAAGTTCAAAAGGTAATACTGTACAAGTCTATGAGCTAGCTACGTGCAGAGTTTGATTGTTGCGAACAGTAGGAAGGCTGCTGGGTATCTTTAAAAAGCAGTTTCCAACATTACCACAACCCAGCCAGCATTGAAGGCTTGCATTTATACAGAATCCTGACAGATGTAGTCTTCAAGAGGTATCTCAATAGCAAAGATACCTTTTTCTAATTAGTCCCCACCTGCTTTTGTTTCAATTGCCTTAGGTGAAAGGCTTTTTGCTTTGCGGAATCTGTTTTCCAGTGGGTTTCAGCTCTAGTGCAGACAGCTGTATTGATAGCTCTGTTGGATCTGCTCACTTGTTATCATTAACTTCTGCTGAAGCCAGTACGAAAGGCTGAACAAATCAGAGAAATACTGAAAAAAATTGAGCTGAGATTTTTATTAAGTACTGATCCTTTTCTCTTTTAATATTTGAGAAAACAGTTAAGAAAAATACATTTACATTTCCCTTAACAAATGCTCCGATATTACCATTTTTAATAGACCAAACATGACTAATATCTCCTGCAATATGCAGATTTGAATGTTGTAAACACTATACATTAAATAGTTAATGGAGACTGGTGGATACAATTCTCCATCCTGCTATTGAAGCCAGGAATCCTGCTATGCCATTGTGATCTGAAATTTGTTGATAGCTGATTACTGTGCTACAAGTACCGTTGGCAATACCCAGTGTGAATGATAATGCCGGATTTGACATATTTCAGGGTAGAAATTTTATAGTACTTGCTGTAAGTGTAAAATCATTCATAACTCATAACTGGGTCTGCAGTTTAACAGCATATTTAGACTGACTTAGACTTATTCCTAACGGTAAGCAAATAAATTGCCATTGAGTGAATAGGACCACTCATTTTTAAAGTTAAGCATGATCTTAGGAGCCCTTTCCAAGTGGGCCTTTTCTGTTTTACTGTGTAATTCACATTGCAGGTATTAGAGAGTCAAAGAGTTTTGTGTTCCTGAAATAAATTACGGCTGAGGATGTATAAGCATCAAATCTGTTCAATAAGAGTCACCCATGGGCATCTGGCAGCAGAATTTGACCTTTCTTTTTAGATGAGCCTTGAAGGACACTATATAGCCAGGTCTTCCACTTGCCATTGTATTAAATAACTTGCCTTGAGACTATTTCAGTTTAAAGAAGCAATGGTAGGAAATTGTGGTTGTGTCAGGATGCAGCTCAAAGTAGCTCACATGCCAGAATGATAACACTGCGCTACTTAGGGTAGGAAAAACGGTAGAAATTTATCCTGTGGAAGTCATGTACGCATCTGGTGTTCAGACATTTAGAGAGCCTCTGTATAGGGCTGTATTTTCATTTTTAGACATGCTACACAAGGCATTATCACTGATATTGTGAGGACTTAATTGACCTTAGATAAAAATGTGGTCAGCTGCAAGAGTCATTAATGTACAGTACCTTAAAATAGTTTCACTTCTAGCCTGCATATTTCTCAGTACTGTGCTGGAAATGAGCATGAGGTACTGAAAAGAATCTCTACTGTAATGTTTACGATTTAATCTCACAGGTAACCTATACATAACACCTCAGGTTAGCTGCACTCTGCACCGTGGGGTTTTTTATTCAATACTGTTTATGTTGATTTACATATTTTTTTAAGGTCATAAATGATGTACAGAGCCATGGTTAGGGAAATGTACATGGAAAACAGAGCGGGATGGAACTTGCTGGAACTCAGGTATTGAAAATCGCACACACTAGTCTAGGAGTTTCCTGACACTCCCTTTATGGGCAGTGAAGAGTAAAGAGCATCACTAGCGACCTATTTACTTCATTCCAGAAGAGTCATCTGAGAGAGCGTGCCTGAAATATTTTGTGTGTAGAATTGAAGACCTGTGTTTCTCTGTCTTACAGGTGTTTCCTATGACCAGTTCTGGTGGCCCTATCACTGAATATCCTTTTATAAGGACTGGACTACTAGGCTTTATAGGCCCAGGTGGACTTGTCTTTGTTATTGGCAAAATGGATGGTTTGATGGTTGTCAGTGGAAGAAGACATAATGCTGATGACATTGTAGCAACAGCACTGGCTGTGGAACCAATGAAATTTGTCTACAGGGGAAGGTTTGATCCTTTCTTTTCTATATTATGTAGAAATCCTTACTTTGCTTAGACCGGGTGTAAGTGACCCAAAATGCTTTCAGAAGGCAGTGCCTAATCTGCACTGGGCTTTCTGAAAGTTGCTGATATCAGTAAAATAGTAATGATACGAAATTTCTTTGCGGTTTCCCTACTTTGCTGTTTATATGGCTAGAACCAGGAGACAGCAGAGGGAAACCTACAACAGTGTTGAGGAGATACCAAGGTCCGAAAACGTGATTATTAAAATTTCCTGTTGAACAGTTGGTTAATTCTGAAGGTGTTGACTCAACAGAATCCTAGCTCTCTGAGTTGAACATTTCCAATGTGCCTAACACTGAAGTTCTTGAACATGACAGCGGTTCCTTGTGGACCTTCTTAAGGTGCTGAAACTGAGCAGGAGACATCTAAAACTTCTGAAGAGCCTAATGCAGTAACATGCGCTCACACGTGATAATATGGCAGACGTCTCACAAAATGATGTTGCAATTGCTTTCTTCTAAGATGGGGCCAAAGAACAACCACCTCAGTGTGACCCAAATGTAGTGCTTTTCTTATCCCAAGAAGGTTCACTTCTCCAACTCTGCTGTGACATTATGCCTGTATTTACATGATCTTAGAACAAACCACCCTATTTCTCCTCCAGAAGTTAGCCAAAACTGTTCTTGTTGCTTTTTCCCCATAAATAAAATACTAATTGATGCACCAGTTGTCTGAGTAATGAATAACAAAATCATAGTTATGGAGGGTTAATTTAGAAGACAGGTTTTTCCGTCTGTCCTGGCACTAAATACTCTTGTCTTCTTCTCTTCTATAGAATAGCAGTGTTTTCAGTGAGCGTGCTGCACGATGAAAGGATAGTTATTGTTGCTGAGCAAAGGCCAGATTCCACAGAGGAAGACAGTTTTCAGTGGATGAGTAGAGTTCTCCAGGTAATGCTCTGTATGTACGTTTGGAAGCTATTTTTTCTTGCTTTATATTCTTTTTATTGATCTTTCAGGCCCCCAAGGTAACTGACATTTGTCTTTGAATAATTGTAAGTCCACCTTCAGTTGCACTTGCACCTAATGAGCACAAAATTAGATTCTTCTGAGTGACAGTTCCTATTTGGGCCACACATACCCAAAGAGTAAGCCTTTTCCTAATCAAAATGCTGTAAGAAAACAGGGATGAATTGAAGTAAGTAATAGCAAGGAGAGAGTAGCGTATGGTTCGTAAGGATATAGTCGTTCATTACTTCAAAAGGGTAATGAGTGAATGTATTATATACTCATACTGTCAAAAGCTACCAAAGTCTCTTACTAAACAGTTATTGGCACTGGTATGGAGTTGACCTCATCAAAAGTAGATATACTGATACATCTGAGCTAGATCTCCAGATTTTTTTTTTAATCTATGGGAGAGAACTATGTGTTACTAGTGCACCATGTTGATTGTTAAAATAAACTGAATTAAACACAGCCTAAAAATCCTGATTTCTCTCCAGTGAAGGGAAGTGATTGATTAGCTCAGATGTAGGTATCTGCCATGAGGTTATCTGCATAAAGGATACCTATTGCAAGGAGTCCCATTCCAGCTGTCTGGTGGATCATGCAAGGCACGTACCGCTGTGATGAAACGCACCTTGGTGGTGTTGTGGACACTTTGGCCAGAAGACAGAAGCTACTGAATACTGAAAAATTCTGATCTTCTCCTTACATATAGCAGTCCAAGTTAAGGCAATATCATTACCATACTCAAAGTTTTTTCAATTTGAATGTCCACACACATTAGATATCTAAAGTATCTAAAAAATTAGATACTTTAGATAGCAGTCATCTTCCATCTCCTCCATCTCGATGATGAAGCCAATTGTCACTCAAAAGCGATAGGTTTAACGGAGATGTAGTCAAATGAAGTCGGTCTGTTGCTGCCTTGTGAAATGGTCTCAGCTCTGTCTACAGCTGGTCACCAGTTACTTCCACTTCCCTTGCTTACCTCCCTTTCTATCCTTCCTCAAGGACTCTTCTCAGGTAAATATATTGCAAACATCCTTTTTGCTTTACCCAAGAGCCCAAGAAAAAGATCCTACACAATTCAGAGAAGATGTTTTTATTCATTATTGCTTTGTACTGAACAAGAAAGGGAATCTGTCTACCGTATCGTTGAAGAGACTGAACAAATAAGCTTTCATCCATCTCAAGACAGGTTTGTCTGCTCTCTTGATTTAGAAGATAACTACATTTCATACAGCTAGAGGCATCTCATATTCACAGTAGATCTAAATTATTACCAAGAAAAGCTAGAACCTCTAGCTTGTCCATCACACAGAAAGCCTTTGAAGCACCTAGTAGCACCTAGGGCAACCTGTTTTAGAAGGAGAGGCTTTTGGATTGCCCATGCTTTGATAATTTTTATCAAGTAACAAGCTCCTAAAGAAAAGGTTGAAATTCTGGACTTAACATTTCTCCAGTTTTGTCGGCTGAGCATTTTTGTGACTTCTACAGAAATCATGTCTTACACCATCATAGCCAGTAGAATTCAGTACTGAACACTGTGGGAGTCCAGTGTCAAGTTGCTCCTGCCGAAAGTCGATCCTGTTATTCTGGGTATGATCAAGTCACAGCAGTGTCTGGGAGTGGTAGGCCATATATCAAAGTACACATACGTGTGGCTGCTTTTATCACCCGTGTGTGAAGTCTGCAACTCTGGCATGTGTCACTATGTGAACAAGAAGTTTCTGGTTCCACTTCAGCTGAGAGCAGAGATGGAGAACAGAAGCCAGCAACATGTGGGATGCATTGTGCCTCCTTCCCAATCAGATTTTTAATGACATATGTCAGGAAGTGGTAACCAGTTGTATCTGAATCATCTGTTAGTGATGAGCAACATAACAATATCACACTTGTGTCATGACTCTCAATGACGTCCATGATAACAAACTACCAAATTGCTACTCATTTCTGATGATATTTGTGAGACTCGTCTAATATCTTGCATGTGCTGCCCTGTGCCAGCCCTGCCCTACACTGCCTGCTTCTGCTGTGCCTTGCTGTGTCTCTGCATCTCTTCCCTAGAGTTGAGCTACATCGATTTTCAGGACTTGTTTCCAGTGGGTTGCACCTTGTTCTGACTGTCCCTGGCCCTTCCTTCTCCTCAGCAGAGGGCTGAAGGACAGTAGAGCTGCTGTACGTATGGGACTATGTTGGACTGCATCTGTGGATTTTAGCAGAGGCATGGTTGGGAGGGAGTGGTCAGGCTGGGTAGAGAGTGTCTTGAGAGTAGTGGAGGAGTGTGGTTTTTTAGTGACAGTGTGAGTGAAGATCCCAGGTCTCCCAGCAGTTCAGTCAGGTGGATCCTAGATACTCATTCATCACCCAGACTGCTGCAAACTGATCTGACCCTTCAGGCAGGGCTGGGGTTCCTGTACCTGCCAGACTGGATGTTAGTTTTACCAGTGCCAGCACACTAGCAGGACTTGACAGGACTAGGCAAGGCTAGGACATCTGCAGAACTGGAGTGTGTCTGCCTGGAGAATTTCGTCAGAATGGGATGTTTCTTAGCTTGAACAACGTAGCAATCTGGAATCTGCAAGTCCTGGTATCTCTAATCTGTTTTCTCAATGAAACAGAGGGATAAAGATTTCAGATACTCTGTTTACTTCTGGCTGGACAAAGTAATTTCAAAAACCAAGCCATCTCATCAACAGGCATAAATGCCAGCAGTATTAAAATTGACTGGTACTCTTCTCTCATGAAATTTTACAGCTCAGTTCATTAGGGCTCACCCTTGTGAAACAAAGTCATTCCCTGCTTCAGTGCCAAATTCCAGAATGTGAAAGGTGACAATTTTGAATGACCCATGACATTTTATCAGGCTTTGTGCTGCAGAGGTAGCTATCAAAGAAGACAGTTCTAAAGTCACTGGGGACTCATTATATATAACATCCTTCATCCCACCTCAGCTGAGTATTGCTTTCCATTCACCAACTCTAGGAGCCACACTGTCGTATGTTTGAAAAAGAGTGGGTACTTGCCCTGTAACAATTTTCCTTCAAGCTGATGTCAGGTGAGGATCCCATGATTTATCACTGCTTTTCAGCACCTACAAATGACATTATGATTAGGAGATTATGATGAGACATGAGACGTTATGTGTTGGCTGTCATATATATCTCGCTATTGCTGATCTTTCAGGTAAGGTGTATGTAAGACCAGCAGCAAGGTCTTCCAATACTACAGTGAGATCTACCACTACTAAAACTGCAATGTTTGTGAAATTAATAACTGCTTTATAATTCTTTCTTGTGAAATTTTTCAATCAAATAAATAAAAAATGAAGCAAACAGAAGCCAAGAGCAGAGCATTACTTAGAGTCTCTGTAGAAGTAATCAGTAATTTATTGGTCTACACTTAAGTACATAACTATAAATGGATTATTTGATTCTCAGAATATGGATTGTATCTTCAAGGCAACAAATGTATGTGTTCACTTTTCTCAGCGTTAAAAATTAAAATGCAAGTTAAGTAAATTATATTTTTGAACATTTAACTACTCATTAGAGATGCTGTCTGTGAGTTGTTTCTCAGTCTGCATGGATGTCTGAAGTTGTTTTTCTGACTAACTCACTTCCTGCAATTTTTGTTACCAACGTAAGGAAAATAACCAGTTAAAATATGTATGGAATTAAAATCTTAAGAGCATGGATATTCATGTTTAACTAAGTAAATTACATAGATACTGTTCGTTACAGATTTTTTGAAAGTGATGCAGTTTATTCCACTTGTCAGACAACAAACATGGTTATTATAAGATTCAAAGATGCTTATTTTTCAGGTTTTCATTCAACAGATTTTTTTTCAAGTGGATAGTTTGGTAGTTTTGCCTTATATTGTACCAATTCCCATTCCTGCCTGTGGATCTTTTACACAGTAATCAGGGAGTTAAACAGTTATTATCTTAGAAAGATTTACAAAATTTGTAAGCTACATACATCAGTACGTATATGATGATATACATGCAACTTTTGAGATTTTTCTTTGCTCTACAAGATGGACTGGATGTTAAGTTGATAGGAAACCTTTGAACTTTAATTCTGAGAAGTGCGCCGTTTAAAATCAGTTTCACATAAGTTGCCAGCCAATCTTAGTAATAAATCTCCAGGATGCGTGCTACTAACATGTGCCTGAGGGATGCCTAGGTAGCATTTCTTAATAGATTTCTGTGTATTTATCACCAGGTTTTTGTTTGCTTTTTTATCTTCTGGAATGAGTGTAATAACATCAGTGTTTCATTTCCGTCCACCTGTTCCCACTGAAAAGAACCTCTTTATTACTGACATTGCTGAAGTGTCTTTCCATTGCCAGTTAATTATTAGGGTTGTTTTATGCAGTAATTCAGAACAACATGTGCTTATTAGAATGATAAAAAATTAGCCTTTCATTAAAATCGACTTCCTGCTTTTTTTAGGCTATTGACAGTATTCATCAAGTCGGGGTCTACTGCTTAGCGCTCGTACCAGCAAACACGCTTCCCAAGACGCCGCTGGGAGGAATACACCTGTCAGAAACCAAACAGCTCTTCTTGGAAGGATCTCTGCATCCTTGTAACGTGCTGATGTGTCCCCACACATGTGTAACAAACCTGCCTAAACCAAGGCAAAAACAACCAGGTAAGATGAGTGAAGGCAAAGGGACCATGACTTAATGCTGTGTATTTATGGTACTGTATGGAGCAAAATCAAGTAACTGTTAATGCAGGTGAGAATCAGCTCCATCTTCAGTAAAGATGAAGACATTTTTATCATTCTACAAGGCACTGCTGAGACCATAGCTGGAGTTCTTTGCAAATTCCTGGTCAGTTATGTTTGAAGAGGATGGACTGAGACTGAAACAGAGAAAGATAAAATCTTGGCTTATTTGAAGGCTGAGTTTATAAAGTAGAAATAGAGAGGAAGAGGACTCACACTAAGTGTCAGTGTTGGAAGAAGAGCAAGTACTTAAAAACTGGTCATGAATGAATTAAACCCAAGAATGAGGATAAAGTTTTTTACCTGAGTAGGGAGGTTCTGGATTATTCTTAAAACAGTTATATTTGAGGGAAAACCCTAACTAGTTCTAAAATGGTTCTTCAGAAGTTCTGCCACACTTTATGAAGAATATTGGATGAAATGGTACAGCAAGGCCCTGACTCAAACAACCGAGAAAGCCCTTGTAGCCTGCTGTAGTCCAGTCGCTGGTTACTCATGCCCAATGAATGAGAACCTTTTCAGCAAATTTTTTACTTTGAATTCAATTGCAGATTTTAGTACTCAGATTAATTTCAAGGATTTCTGGATCTGTAGCCTTAGGCTTAAGACCTGAAATCAGCTACGTAAGACTAAGTGTTGGTTACTTTCCACTTTGAAAACCAGCTTGGAATATGAACTGTTTTTATCCTCTGGATCTCAAATATAGGGACTATCCATCATGAATTCAGTGCAAGTTTACCAAAACCGTCAGCTTGTTTCTTTATTTAAAACCCTTGGACAAATGTTTCAGAAATCAAAACCATAATCTCAGTTTGCGGATACTGGGACTCAGAGGCTAACAGTGACTTCCGCTATCTTAACAAAAGCAATGAAGCCTTTAACTGCAGTGCTCACTTTGGTATTTCCTTGTTGCTGCTTCGCAAAGTAATCACTGAATTAGGATCAGTGCAATGGAGAAACTTACATTACGTACATTATGTATCACTATGGTAAAAGCAATGCCAGGAACGCAGAAACCAAACCGATAGCATCACATTCTCCCATTTTGCGTAGTTGTGACATACCCAGAGGATGTGTTGCTTTCGTCTTTTGAAAGCAGAGTAGTCTGTAGATGTTGTTTATTGTACATTATCTGGTTACTTAGACCTCCTATTTTGACACTTATACCACATACCATCACTGAGACAAAGCTTGGACATCATAGACTAGAAGTAAAGCCTGGTATCAATTGCGGTTAATCAGTAATCCACGCTGGAGAAGCAGAAAACAAGTGGTAGCATGAGCGTAAATGTAATCTGTGAGACAGGTATTTCTCCCTAATGGCAGCAACAAAGCATCAGTGAAATCCACCTCAAGGAGAAGTGTCAGCCTTGACATCTTCCTTTCTTCTAAAGTTAAATTATTTTTCTTCAGTCTCTACCTTGTGCTAAAGGGCTTGCATATATTTTATCATAGGCACCTTCTGCCTTCCTAATCCTTGTCGCTTCATGTCTATAGCATTACAGAATTGCTAATACAGATGCAACTTAGCCCAGGGAACAGAAGAGAGAAATAGGAACATTGTCCCCGAAGCCTGGATACATCTCATCTGGTTTTAGGCACTTGAATGGACATGCCTAAATTAGGAGCTGAATTTTCCAAAGATTCCCCATATCAAGGCAGACAAGGATGTGTCTCTGGCTGTAGAGAGCCCGTGCTAAATGCGCTCCTCAGTTAGATACATTTGGAGAGGATGAATCCAGGCCTGTGTATCTTCCAGCTACTTCTGGTCCATCAACCAAAGTTTGTATCAACAGAGATGTGCTCAAAGTTGATGCTGTGGATAGCAATGAGGAAAATACCATGTAATGCAAAAGAAATAAAAAGAATTTTCATCCACAAGAAAAGGATTTTTATTGCACTTTGCACATTTCTGATTTATTCTAGAAATTGGCCCTGCCTCTGTGATGGTGGGGAACTTGGTCTCTGGAAAAAGAATTGCACAGGCCAGTGGTAGAGATTTGGGGCAAATAGAAGATAATGACCAAGCCAGAAAGGTAAGCTAAACTTTTCTGATACGGCTTATATTTAGCTAGTTAGCATCAGGACACTTAGCAGTACATAGACAGTATTATTATTGTTGCAGAATTTGTTGATTGCTGTTTCTAATTCACACTAAAATATTTCAAAACCCCTTTTACAGATAAATATAAAATAGACGTGAGGAGGGATCACTGTATTTCATCTGTATGGATTTTTTTTTATAAGTGTACATGGGACAACAGAACAAACATGGTGGAAAGTGTTAACGAGGCTTCTACTAGAAATCACCCTCTATTATATCTTTTTTACTAGCTCAAGCGGAGTCCAGGGAATTTTGATTGCATATATGGTCCTGACCATTTTTGTTGTTATTTTGATCCTGTAAAATTAACTTGAAATTCAGCTCTTTTGAGGGCTTATGTGAGTAATTAAATTAGTAAGTTCTAAGCTGTATAAATATTTATGTATTTATACTAAGAAAAAGAGAGGAACCTAAAGAATTAAAATTGTGCTTAAATTCAGGGAGATCAGTAAGAACTGGTTTATTGCTTTGAAAGTATATGTAGTAATATAGCACCATCCCAGCAGTGGCTTCACTTCCAGAGAGGCCGCTGCTACCATGCAAAAGCACCTTGCTATAAATACGTGTGGTGACAAGAGAATTAATTCACGTTTAGTGCTTCTGGGTGTTGATGTAATATGTAGCATATAAATAAGAAAGACATAGCTAAACTAGCAAAAATAGTTACCTGGTTTTTAAACCGAAAACGTTATTTAGTGTCATGACTATCACTCTGCTTTTATTTTAGTTCCTCTTCCTCTCAGAAGTGTTACAGTGGAGAGCTCAGACCACTCCTGACCATGTGCTTTACACTCTACTCAACTGCAGGGTAAGAAGCTCAGACCATTACTCTGACGGGTTGCAGCATGGAAAATGGCACACTGGTATTTCAGCTGCACCTGCTCATGCTATGGCTGAACGCGACCTTTCTGTTTCTTTTCCCATTAATACTCAGCTGTTATATTTAATGTTCACTGAGGCAGAGAGGAAAAGAGAATAATCATTGCCAGTTGTCAAAATATAGATTGCTTTTGTTTCAGAGAGCGCACCTTACACATTTCTCATTTCTTTTTCCACCGCATATATGTTTTGGGTGAGCTGACACTGCAAATCTATTTCAATACTGATCGTTCCTATACCGAAGAGTAGTATTTAATACTGCTCACCATCCTGATTTCCAATTTGAAAAGCACAGGCTTGGCAAAATCAAAGCATTTTCCCTAAATAAAACAATAATTATTTTATTTAGGGAAATAAATAATCTCAGTTTTGAGACCGGACCATCTGGGGAGGTGTGGGAATGGGGAAGGGAGGTGAAGAGAAGAAGAGGTATGTCCAGCATCCAACCAGGTCTGCAGGGGATCAGTAATAAATCTCTCTGCATAGCCTACGTGAGGTGCCAGCCTGGCACAGCATTTCATTGCTTATCAAAAATGAATTAATGCATGTCAGGTGGTACAGAACTTGGCTTCACTAAGAGTGGGTGATTACAGACTTCCTAGATGATTGTAGATGACAAACCAATAATTCCCAAGACCACCATCGAGAATGAAAGTCTGATTTCAATCCATCCCACCACAATACATCTAGACACATCTGTCAAAACTGGGAAACATACGTAGTGTGTGAGGGTCTCCAGGAGAGTAGGGGCCTGGAATAGTGCTATTCCCCTGGGCCACCTGGTGTTGTCTTAGACCATGTGGTCCCTACGCAATTTGGATGGGTTCTTAAGCCTCCAGTAATTTGTGAACCTCTGTGAAATGATCACTTACTGTATTTACAGGATGTGCTTCCCCAGCCATACTACAGTGCTAGTACCAAAGTTCCGTTTGAGGCTATCAATAAGTTATTAAATGACTTCCTTTAAATTTGGATTAATAGCTAGTATGTGAACATGTGCCACTTGACAGATAATAGTGAAGTAGTAATGTAGTTGTCTGTGGCAAAGTGGAAAACTTGAGAGGCAATGCTGTTTATAGATTCAGTATTACAGCATTAAAATAGTGCATTGTTCGGTCCTGTAGATTAGGAGCAAAGATGCTGTGAGAAAGAGCCAGTCATATCCACACAGGCTGTTGCTTTTGAACTTTAAATAAAGCCAGACTTCCCATGCTGGCAAAAGGGTTCAAACAGTGGGAGGGAAGGACACAATGTGGAAAACAAGGATTTACAAAATAATTTATCATTCCATAGAAGTCAAAAATAGTTGAATTTTGAAATTCAGTTTCTCTGCTCCTTTAACACTCTCGGTGTGGAGTATCTTATCATATGAAATTTGTTTGAGAGATGTAATGCTTTGTGGAGAGATTTAACGTTTTATGGAAAGAAGTGACAAGTTTGGTGTGTTTTAGCCTAGGCAAGTTTTATTGCCCATCTTGAATTTTAGTTCTGGTTTGTAACTTTTCCCATTTTGTCTTCCTTGCACATTGTCTGTACACTTTGTTCTAAAACATCCAGGCATCTTTCAGTGGATGACTAATAGAAATCCACTGAGATTAGTGTTTTCCTGTAACCCAAGCTTTTTGAGAATTTGGAATATTTCAAAATTAGCGCAGTTCATTGTTTTTAGTGTGCCATGAAGGATTGCAACACCTTTACATTGCAGGACACCTCGTGTAAAAGACCTGAAGGGAATAGTTGCCTGGTGCTTGCCAATGATTCTTGTCCAACAACAGGATTCTCCTTCCCTGCACTTCATATAAACACTGTCTTTCTGCTGGTTCCTGTGCAGCAAGTGCCAGAAGTCTTAAATGTAAACAAGTTTTGCACAAATTTACATGATTTGCAGCAATTCTGTTTCTATGTCAGTGGGGTCTGTGCTTCTGATGTATGCGGGGATATAAAAGGTCCTTCTTCCCATGACTATGCAAAGAGGCAATTTCTTGAAAGAAGGAACGAAGAGTTTAAGCACATTCCTACTGGCAGGTCTACAGTGACAAGGACACCCAGACCTCAGGTCACTTTGGCCATATTTAGGGCTGGACAGATGCAAGCCATCTCTAGTCCAGCATCCATATAGTTGCATATGTCTTTAGAGGAAGCTTTCTTAGTGAAATGATCTCCGCATTGTTCAGAAGACTGATTAAAATTGCCTGAAGTGCATTTCAGTAAGTGTCATTGCTGAAGATTGTGAAGAGGAATGCTAAGCCCTGACTTTGCCCTTTTATTTTCAGTTAGATTTGTCCTCTTTGTTGACAGTGTTTGAGTTCGTATATAGTTTGTTATGAAGTTTGTAAATGCCAAGTGATGCCTGGTAACATGCCACTACTTCCAGTGCTAGACCTTTATCAAACTGTTCTCTCCTCTCTGAAGCTTGTGGTCAATAAATGCTGCAGTGGTGTGTGGGATGGTGATGGTGGATAGAAACCAGCAATCAAGCCAAATGCTTATTATTTCCTGCCTTGTTAAAATAGAGTGTAAAGAATATTTATCTAAAACAGAAGACCATATTGCTTTCTCTCTTAATAAGGACAGTGATACAATATTTTTGATTGCATTGCATTTTTGATACATTGTTCTTTTTAAGTGTATGTATTTTCTTACCTTTCTTTTTCCCAATTTCTTCAGCTTCTCTGTTTTTAAGTGAACTTAGTGCTTGTGATAGGTGCCAGGTATATCACAGCAGTACTGGAGGCTGAAATCCTTTTTCCACAGAACAGATACACAGGCAGAGACGTGCAGCCCTTCCCGTACTGCCCTGTCCCTTTATCTCAGCCCAGACCTGGCCAGACCAGCTCTAGGCACAGTCAGCCTGTCCTGCATGTTCACTTTTAGACTTCTCTTCTGAGGTTTCAACTGTGGTAGTGAATTTTGTGATTTATTTATTTATTTCTCTAAAACTGTATTTATGTGTGTGCATATATACACACATACCTATTTTTAGGGAATGCAAGAACCCTAACACTCATCCAATTTGAAACACTGTAGCACTATTTGAATTGCCAAATGATGTAGCGTATTTCACTTCCCCTTTTTTTTCATGCTGACCAGAGTTACTCAAATTCAACAAATGTCTTTCTTTTCTATTTCATTTATATGCATGTGCTTAGCTTTTGTTCCAGATTAATTCTTTTCCCCATCACAAAGTATTGTTTTCTCCTGTGTCTTTTATCTCTTGTCTTTTAAAGTATTTCTGCTGTGCCATTTGGCTTCCTTCCAGCGTGCAGACAACGAAGTGCAGTTTTCAGGATTGCTCTCCACAGATTCTCTAGATTGCTGCAGAGACCATGAAGGCACTTTCCTGGCTGTAGCAGGAACGCTGCCTGTATAGCAAGGGAGGGAGTACAGGTTACATGGGCAGGGTATTAGCATACTACTGTACTCCTTTAGTTAGAGAGAAAACACAGTTGAGGGCAGAAGGTACAGAGAGGGGAATGGAGAACGTTCCTCTGCTTGACAAACATCTTTTTTCTTTCCAACTGCAGTTTGGAATAAGGCTGAAGGTTTCCATATTTAAGTTGATTGCATGACGTTGTGGCTGCACCTCATCCAGTAAATTCTAAGGTGCAGAGGAAAATAGAGTTTCAGCACATAGCATTATCTTCTGTGACATTTATCTTTCTTCCTGTGCAGGGAACAATAGCCAACTCACTAACATGTGTCCAGCTACATAAACGAGCTGAGAAGATAGCTGTCATGTTGATGGAAAGGGGACATTTACAAGATGGAGACCATGTGGCTTTGGTTTACCCACCAGGTAAAGATCTGCCATGTTCGGTACCTTGGTAGTCCCAAAAATTTATCAAGATCCTTTAGAATGGTGCTGCATTGGTGGTGTTACCAACCTATAAATCATGTTAATTGGCAAAACACAAAATATTTGCCTTATTTTACATTTGTTTGAACTTAGTCAAGCATATTTAAAAGAATTTCTCTTCGCGTATGCACATAGATATTATTTCTTTGGGTTCAGATTACGATTAACCTGTGTTTTTAAAACCTGTCTCTTATAAGCAGTCAAATTTAATTATTGTTTTTCTTTTAATTTGCTGGAAATATACTATTTTATGAGCACACAGTTCTGCTAAAATATTCCATCTGCTGAGCGTTCTTAGATTCACCTTTTGAATTCCCTCTTGGAAATGCTGCGTTTCTTGAGCGTAGAGCAGCAATACCTAGGAAGTAATCCATGTTTTTTTAGAGTAGAAATATGATGAATAAATAGCAGATGATTAAGAAATACCAAATTATAATCACTGTTTTCTCTATACATCTTTAACCTAGACAGCTCTCTGTGGCTTGGATTTTCATCCTTTGACATAAGAGCTTTTAAGCTTGTGTTGACCAGTACCACGTTTGACATTTGCTTGAAATTATTTCTGATCTAGTGCTGCTTTTTTATCTTTAGCATTTCATGTGTGTTGGTGAAATAAACAGTCTGATTTAAGGTCTGTATTGTGATATTTGGTTTGTAAGGGCTGCAAGATACTGGTTAAATCTATATAGGAGTAATTTCTCAACGGTTAATATGAGAAAACCTTTTCCACAAAAGAAGACTAGTGTTTTAAACCTAAGTTTTTATTTTCTGTATTTCACTTCCCAAGAATAAACCATTTTACTGAAGGAACAACCACCTATCAGTACTCCAGATCCTTTTCCACTGAAAGAATAAAACAGCCCCCACTGTCGTCTTATCACAGCCTGTGTACAGCATCAGGGAGCTATCAAACAACAGTATTCACGGGATCTTTGTGCTGTTGTCTGTTCAGCCTCCTTAGATAGCCTGAAGTGTGCTGTCCACAGTTTGTCACCTGCAGTCAATGTTTATATAGAACAACACTTATTTTTATGTTAGAAGCAGGATTTCAAAAACATAACTTCCTTTTTTACTGTAAAATTTCAGGTAGATAAGTCAAAGCTGCATATCTGAGGTTAAAAATGGCATGAGAAAGATAGTATTTAATGAAACCTCCAGATACTCCTTCTGCAGCTGATAGGAACAGGCATTGTCCTACTTCATCCTTTTGCTGGGGCAATCCTCTTCTTGTAGACTCTCATTTGTCTATAAATGTAAATTTAGGAAGATAATTAATCTGTAGAAATCAGTCTTTTTAACAGGTTACTTCCTGATCATAAAAGTGGTGTTCACCTAAATGATACCTGGCTGCAGCTTTGTGTCGCCTTTGGTTTTTCATGCTCGGAAGAACAGTACAATTGAAAGGAATCAGTGAAGCTGAACAAATACTGACAAGGGACTGAAAAAGAAGTCTGTTAAAGGACTTAGTCGCTCATTTAACCTTCTGAGTTGAGTTCCAAGTAATATTCATGCTGACATAGGTGACTGTGATTAAATTATTTGATTTTCAGGGGAGGATTTTTGTTTTGTTCTTCATGCAGGAATAGACCTGATTGCTGCATTTTATGGATGCCTGTATGCAGGCTGTGTGCCAATAACAGTTCGACCTCCACATCCCCAGAACATAGCTACCACGTTACCTACAGTGAAGATGATTGTGGAGGTGAGCAGACACCTGAAAGTGCACAAGTAGATTAAATGGGCAGTGGATTTGCGTGGTCTTTAGGAACGGTAACTTAAGTGAGTGGTGGTGTAGGTTGAAGAGTTGTATTCCTTCCAAAGATTCCGGACTTCAGTGTGTTGAAGGGTCAACACTGCTTGACAGCACACAACCTTCTGACTTCCGCTGTGACATTTTGCCACAGTTATGCTACTCTTTTCAAGAAATATATTTCAAGTTCTTTCTTGTATTTAGCTATATGCCAAGAATGGTAGGATTCCTCACCTGGCAACGCTACACTGACTATTGAGAAAAATCCCAATGGAAAGCTTAGCTTGACCTGATGGTGATTTGTGCTCAGCTCTGTACATCTAATTGTTTTGCAATTTGAAGCAATTTCAAAGTTCTGTTGTGAAGATGTTGGTCGGTATTTTGTTTCATCCAGAGAAGTGTTACTCAGACTTTTTCATTCAATGCTTTCTTTCGGTATTTTGGCTTTATCAAATAATGTTTAGTCTTTGTTGCATATAAATAACTGCATTGTGCTCGTTACTGAGGGAAATAAAATCGTTGCAAAGAGATAATCTTTTACATCTGGCAGTTTCTAATCTATTGAATGGAATTCTGAGTCTGAAAAAACAAGTTGAGACAAATGTGATTTTAACATTTCGAATTAATGTTGATATTTTGAAGTAATAAGTACTAGAGATAGTTATAATTTGTGGCTTTATGGCATCAGATGCCACAAAGTATCAGTAGAGGTATGAGAAATTGTCCTATTGTCTTCAGGGTTCTCATTATTTAATATTTCGGCACTCACAGTTTTTAGACATAAGTTGTTAAAATTATAGAAATGTATATAGAATATAAAATGTGTTATTTTGTTTTTCCTTTGATGTTTAATAGCCAAACTAGATGTGTTTGGTTTCATGATGAAAGACTAGGACAGGTCTAAGCTAACTTCTAGTCATCGTCCCTTCAATAGTCTAAATAAAATGTTGAAATTTATTAGCCATATTAACACCAGCTTGACTTAAAAGCCTCTCAGTTCTGTTTTACACAAGATTTTCTTTCATTTTGGAGAGAGATGACCTTGTAGAAATTAAAACATTGAGGCTGTTCCTTCATTGCCAATGCAATCATACAAATTTCCTGGTGTGATGGGGTCAAAGCCTGCTCTGACATGTCTACAAAGCACCTTTTGAAGTCAGTAAGAATGACTCCTGAGCAAAATTTGGCCTACATAATTGTGTTTTGGTGATGAACTCGTAGTAGTACAATATAACTGAACATTATTGAGTCCCATCCGAAGCAGTTGCTAACATGTAGCTAAGATGTCTTCTTCCTCCTTCCCACCGTCCCTACGTATTTACCTCCAACTTGTTATTCTCCAGGCGTGGACATTCTGTATTTTAATAAACCTCTTAATCTTCCAGATAATATAATTCCTGAGAGGGCTAGTAACCACCAACTCTTGAAATTCCTTTTGTTTTATGGCTCCACTATGTCCCAAATCAAGATTTTTATAGATTAAGATTAGCTATGTAAGAATTAACTTGCTTTGCCATGACAGTGGCATGATTGGATTGAGGGATGCTGCCGTGGTTTCATTTGTCTTCACTTTTAGCTTGAAGTATTTAGATTGTCCGTACAGGGAAATCATGGGATTAGAGGAAGTAAATAGAGCTTGCGTCAGTGCTTCTATGCTCCTAATTTCCTCATGTGCTCTATAAAGTTGACTTATAAAATTGACCTCCATGAGATTACTGTCAACAGAAGTTGATCTCTTCTGCTCAGTGGTAAAATTTAGTGTGCATATGGTTACTGATTTCCTTAGGTTGAACACTGGAAATTCAGTGTGCAATGAAATGTCTCTGATTCCTTAAAGAAAAAAAGTACTTTTAGCAATATTTGCACAGATTCTCAAAGTTCGAGGAAAAGAAGAATGATGCTGCCTTTTCCATTTTTCCTCTGTACTGTCTTCAGTGATTAACAGTGTTCATATTTATGTTGTCTGAATATTTCCTTAAATATATTCAATTTTATAATCAGTAAGAAATATTCTTGTAGTTGCTACTTATGTATTTTTAAAAATAGCAAACCTAAAAGGAGAATACCTTCAGCATGTATCATCTAAAATTCAGTGCAGATGGTATTTGCAGTAAACTCACCATTTCATCTCTTAGTGCCACCTGCACAGTTTTTGGTCTAGAGTTATTTTGCCAATATCAAAAGAGTTCCCAGTGGTTTATCACTAGCACAGAATCAGGAATATATGGCTAACATAAAATTGACTTGAGATAGTAAAATTACTCATATAAATGTCAGGCTAGGTTTTGGTTTATGTGAAAATATTATTTATAAACCAAGATATATTATCATCACATAGGAAATGTTTTGGTCAGAGTTTTCTGTACTGGCATTTTGGGTTGGTAACTGATACAATGTGTTGGAAGAGCCACATTCTCACTGTTAAGGTGCCTTTAGTTTCATTACAACACTCTTCTCAAAGTGCAATTTTCATGTAATTTGTAAAACTCGCATGACTCTGTCTGCTTTGTGAGCTGCATTTTTTGTGCATCTTTCCACTTCCTTATTGGAAAACATAAGACTAATATATCTGTGTCCTGTTCTGGCAGAAAATAAATCACGGTCTTGCTCATTTTCGTGGGAGAATTAATCAATATTCCATTGCATTATTATTTATTTCTTAAATTTCTAGGTGAGCCGCTCTGCCTGCTTAATGACTACACAATTAATATGTAAATTGTTACGGTCACGAGAGGCGGCAGCAGCAGTGGATGTCAGAACGTGGCCTCCGGTACTAGATACAGGTGAGTACTAAGGCTAGGGGACTTCTTTTATCACTGTATTTGTCAAGCACTCAGAGGTCTATCTGTCATGGGAGTCAGATACACACATTTTCTTTCTCTATTTTCACTAGACGATTTGCCAAAGAAGCGGCCTGCACAGATCTACAAACCTTCTAACCCTGAAACGCTTGCTTACCTTGACTTCAGCGTCTCCACAACTGGCATGCTAGCCGGGGTAAAGGTAGGGACTTCTTGTTAAAGCTGGCATTCCAAATATCACACCTGGCTGGCAGGTGGTACGTTGCTCCTGATTTGTAACTCCTCTTGATTTTTGGTAATAGAAATTGAATTGCTTCCTCCCTTGCAGTCATTATTTGATTCCATTAGCATGAAATTAGTTCTTGTCTACTCACTACGGTACTGTGTGTGGCAAGTTTAGCCCCACTCCTCCTCCTGACTGTCCCCTGTGGATAGCCCAGTAGCTTGTCAGCCTGAAGCATTCTTCATCTGAAGCATCTATTCTTTCCTTTTTATGAAGGAAACGAGACCTCGTCATTACTTTTCTATTTGTTCCCATGCCCATTCACTCTTTGCTCTTTATTGCAACTTAACTGCTGGCCATTGTTTTCAATATTCTCTTCTTCATACTATTAAGGGAACTGCTGATGTCTCTGGTATATTCACCCAGTACAATACTAGAATAATCAGCAAAAAAAATTCATTGATGGATTTGTTTGATAAACTTAGGCATCTTGAGCTCTTTAAATCTATGTTGGCATTTTCTCCAACCCTCTAGCCACAATTTATCAAAGCTGTCTTTTCTAGCTGCTAACATACTTATTATTCCAGTGTTGGTTTCACCAATGTGCAGGCAGGGGTAAAATCACTCTCTTACTCTTACCTGTTACTTCCTATCTGTTGCATATCCAAGGATTATGATTACTTCAGCAATTTTTGGTGATGTATCACACTTATAGCCTCTATTGAATTCCTCATACCCTTTGCCATCATGCGTCTATTTTCAGAAGCTGTCAGCATACTTTATAAACAAAGAAAGCATCATTTTCCCAGCTTTCAGATGGAGAATTTGAAGCACAGAGCAGTGAAGTGACCAGCCCAAGGTTAACTGACGGTTAAATGGCTGAGCTGGCTGAAGGTCACATGCCAGACACTCCTGGAAAATTCATTTAATCTAACTTTAAATAGCTACAATGCCTACAGATGTGGACTAGTCATTGGGCTCCTCAATAATCAACAGAGAGAAACAGGGACTTTTAGGGTGTAATTTATCCGATTTATCTGAAACATCTATTTTTGAATGGAGTGAATAAGTCTTCATTTCTTCTAAAGGGAGCCTTAAATGATTGTTTCAGATGCAGTCATCCATATTAAATCTGGTCTGAATTCCGCCTTATCAGACTTGCAGAAATTACTACTAACTATGCAAAGTCAGTATTTGGAGAGCTTCCAAGATAGTCAAAGGCAGGGCAAGTGGAAGAAACTTTTCTTAATGTAGCTAAAGGGAAATCCTGATAAATCTCTCAAGGAATTCTTGATTAGCTTCTGATATCTGGGTCACAAAGCCTCCAGATCACTGACTCAGCAGGTTTATGTAAACAGGTACCATCTACTAGATCATCACTAGCAATTGATTAATTATAAAAGGATCATAAGAGGTCACAAGGCTTATATTCATAATGCAGTGGTGCTAAATCAAAAAAATGGCTAAACAACTTACGTGGTTTCTGAAAAGTTGACAAATGTTTTGTGATCACTTTGGAAGTAGTAGATTCCACTTACATTTACTCTCAACTTTTTCACGAGCTTGCACCCAGTATGGTGTGAAAATTCAGAGTAACACCAGTTCTGGCCCTACAGAGTTCAGTTTAATCCTGTGTGAAAAAGTGGTCTTGATTCAGCTAGAGTAGAATTAATCTCTGCGAACTGCAGATGATCACTGTGTGGACACCTATTTTGAGCTGGTCTTTTTGCATGACTTGGAACATCTCCAGCCTCAGTTATGGCTTTCATTGGCAATGGAGAAAAAGTCACTTCTGGAGCTTTATTCCCCTGTTTACCTTATGTCGTGGTTTAACCCCACGCAGCCG